ATTGAATGGATTTTGAATTGAATATGAGGCGTTCGTACAAGCGCTTGCATGGCGACCACTGGCAATTACGTGCGAAGGTGACCGACTACAGTGGCCCGCAACTTTACCCGACAGAGAATCACGACCTTTTTGTGCGGGTTATAAAAGATGTTTATAGCCGTTCTGTGCGCTAAACGTGCTATATATCGATAGCCGAGACACAGAGGAACACGAATATAGTTTGATCTTCTTCGTAGCATGTCTAGTCGCTGAGTTATAAAAGCTGGAAGACAGACCATTTAAGTTGGGGAGGGGCCAAAAATGTCCACTTCCAGAGCCGGTACACCGGGCTACACCAACGCTATCCGTACAAAATCTATTTAACCGGATAGTATGCCCCGGGCTACGAAAGTGATTCGCATCGCCATTTTTCACCACCGATCCATGGTGCGACCCGGCAGGCAAGCGTTTCATCTGCGCCGCGCCAGGGCAGGTCTTGAGGCCAAGCGCCAAGCGCCTGAGCTAGGCGACGTTGTTGAATTTGACGCCGAGGAGAGCGACAACACCGACGAAGAACACGACAACTGCGCTCTCGAGCCTTGCCAACTTGTACTAGGACCGGTACCGGTGCGTGCTTTGATCCACCACTTTGACACCAACTGAGGAATTCCATTAGGAAGCATCGCTCGCGTACAAAGTCGGGACCATCGACTGAGATAGCGACGACGAGGTCGATCTATGGAGCCTACTGGATGCGCGGGGCGATGCTGTGCAGGGACACCCAAGGGCCGTCTCACGATCCTACGCGAGCGCGAGCTGCTCGGCCCCGCCGAGACGATCCGTGGGCAGTGCAGGAAGACGCCCTGCACGACAGAAGAGCCGTACAATTGCTGTGCGGTCAACTTGCTCGACCATCAACCCGACTTTGCGGCTCAGAAGTCGATGCTCGAGAAGGTCTTTGAAGATAGCGGCCACTTAATGGACCTCCTCCGCAAGTTCCATCCCGAGTTCAACCCAATCGAAAACTATTGGGGAAGTGCCAAGGTCTACTGCTGTCATCACTGCGACTACACGTTCAAGAGCCTCCGCGAAACGGTTCCAGCTCAAGTCCCTCTGCAGCATGCTCAGCGCTTCGAGCGGCGTTATCATCGGTACATGCAGGTGTACGCAGCTGGACTTTCACCGCCTCTCGCAGAGTTCGCCGTCAAGAAGTACAAATCTCACCGCTCCATTCCATCGGAGAATCTCACGGAACGCATGGAGGTCGAATTTGCAGCTAAAAAACGCTAGAAATCAACGTATGTGTGCTCTTCTACTCGCCGTTGTGTGTCTTTTCAGCCTCAACGGCGTCAAAAACGATTCTGGAGAGGATTTTAGGTATTGCGAATTTTCCGACCAAATTTGTCCACTTTGACAAAAATTGTCGGGTCAAGATGCGGGCCACTATACGCCGGGTAGCTCTCGGTCGCTTCTCGTGGCCGACCGCGATGGCTGGATGGCTCGGCGCTGGTGTGGTTTGTCGGCGGTGAGGGATGTTTTGGCGTCGAGCGTCGCTGTCAAGGGCACGAGGTTGATGGGGCGCAGTGCGGGTGTTGGGTTCTGCATGAGAGAAATGACACCATGCACTTGTGTCGTGTGAGCACCTCTGTGAGCATGAAGCCAGTAAAGTCGTTCATTCGCGACGTGTCTTCGGCCATCTACAAAGTCGTCAGGAGACGCTGAAGCCACCGGCGACCTGTCGAAGCAGTTGGTCGAGGTCGTCGTCGATCTACATGGACGCATGAGTGCCATCCTGCCAGCGAGATGTGCTGTCGACCTCGGTGGTAGAATGGTTCTTCATGCTCGGTTCGCTACCAATAATGCTGGACTGGGGCTTGCAGCCGGTGGTGCCCCTTCTTGCCCCATGGCTCGAGCTACTCCGACTGCCTCTACTGCATTCCGTGAATCGATGGCGGGCGTTCTTCCGTGCTGAGAATGACGACGTGCACCTATCGCCTCGTTGCTCAACTTCAAGTTGGGTTGACTTTCCGATAAAGGGGTCGTCTTATGCTTTGGATTGGCGCAAAGTAGGACGTCATAGCACCCCGTTATCGAAATTCAATTGACTGATCTATTGCTCAAAGGGCGTGCGAGAACCACCAAAAAAGAAGAACGGCGTGGGATGAACCGGCTGCCCGACTATGGCAGCGCCGAGTACTGGGACGCACGGTACATCAGCGAAGGCAATCGGACGTCGCGCGACGCTTACTTCCCGTACAGCGTCATTCAGAAAGGCCTCGAGCCGTTCTTCAAGCCGTCCAAGGCCGAGCGCATCTTGATCGTGGGCTGCGGCACGAGCTCGATGGGCCACGACATGCTCGCCGCCGGCTTCCGCGACATCACGTGCATGGACTTTTCGCCCGCGGCCATTCGCATCGTGACGCAGCGCCAGGCGCCGCCGATTGACGGCCAGCCTGCGCTCAAGTGTACGCGACCGATCGTACATGCATCTTAGCATTGCACTCGCCTAGACGTGCTCATGGACGTCCGTGACATGGCGGCCTTCCCGAGCGAGTCGTTTGACGCCGTGATCGACAAGGGTATGTAGGCCAATGGCATCCGTCCTCCTTCCGCATGCCATCGCTGCTAGGGGTCTTGGATTCGGTCGTCTGCGGCGTAGCCAACAGCGCTGGTGCGAGCCAGATGATGAACGAAATCCACCGTGTGCTCACCGCCGACGGCGCTTGCTTCGTCTTCTCGAGTACGCCCCATCGGAGAGGTCTTATTCGGTTGCCACATTGGTCTAGATGGCTCGTATGCGTCCCGAGCACCATACGTCGACAGCAATGCGGTGTCATGGCAGATCAACCAGATCAGCATTGGTACGTGGCGCCACGGCGACGCGCTGGAAATATGATGGTATGCTAGGCCAACCCGCGCACTTTGTAGCGTTATATTTGCGTAAGAAGTCGCTGGCGACGTAGACATTAGGCCCACTTTTGCGTGATCGCAGCGCCGAGTAGTCCTGCTTCCTGGAGCGTCTCGTCCATGCCCACGAGCGGCTTGGGCGGGAACCCGGCCATGAGCACGTACGCTTGGCCGGTCGCGCCTTCGCGGTGGAGCACGGCGTGGATGTCGCGCACGGTGTGTGTCGTGTTGAACGTCTCGCGCACACGGCCGCCGTTGGCGAGACGGATCTGAATCACCGTGGTCGGCTGCGTCGTGTCGACGGGCGCAAGTGTGGTGGGCGCATCGCTGACAATCGCAGCCGCTTCGACCTGTGAAATGGACGAGGTGAGCATGGAGAAGGAATTCGTCTTGTACCTTGGTCGCGCCCATAGTTTGGCCTTCGCCAGCGAACGCAGCGTACTTGGGCTTGGCCGTCTCCTTGTACTGCTGCGTGCGCTTGTCGACGAGCGAAATGTCGACGTGCTGGCCGCGCGAGTGCAGCGCTTCAAGCTCCCGAGGCACGACACCCCGCTCGATCGCAGTCAAGAACTCGCGGTTGTTCTCGTCATCGCGGCGTCGGTATTCACCGTCATCGACTGTAAAGCCATCGGCGTAGAACGTGATGACGTGCGACGGCGTCGCCGACGCATCGCCTTGGGCGCCTTGCTGCTGGGCGCGGGAGATGATGTTGTCAATGCTCGGAGGGCCGCCCGTGGGGTTGCCATAGACGCTCAGCCCACTGCCACCCCCCGTCGAGTTGGTGCCACCAGTGTAGTACGACTGCTTCTCTTCGTCGCTGTCGCTGTCATCGTTGGCGGCACGGTCGCGCAGGTTGCCAAAGCCGAAGACGTTCATCCTACTCCTTCCCAAGCTTGAAACTAAAATCCAAGCCTGTCGACTATCCGGATAACCTGAGGTGGAGAGACCAACTAAACGACTAAACAATGCACTGGATTCATGGCCCCGCACAACGTAACCCTTGTGTTAGACTATACACAAATGTACATGTTGGTACTCTATTGGCACAATAATACATGCCGTCGAGGCGCAGAGGTACCAGCGATATAGCTGCTTGTGCTTCAGGCGCCACCACGTCGTTGCGCACGCCGTTTAGTCGAAACTTGATTAAATTCGATTTCAGCCAATGGCATCGCTGCATCTAACGACATTCTATTACCTAGAAATTGTATGGATTTTGACAATAAAATGCATGAAAATGCACCAATCGGAAGCGGGCTTCTAAAAACTTGTCAAATTATTTTACAAGCATATCCTATTATTTGCATTTAAAATAGAGTGACAGAATTAAAGTATCCAGCGAAAATACAATCTTTGCACGACCGGCAGGGCCATCACAACACCATGGGCTGCGCCGATATCCGCTTGGCCTCGCCGCAGGAGCACGCCGATCTCGAGCAGCTGCTGCATGCGTTCGACTCTGCTCAGTGCAAGCTCTCTACGGAGCCCACCCATGTTGGCCAGAAGCATGTCTTTGTCGCGGAAACCATGGGTCCTATCGGCGTCCTTGTGCTTCTACGAGACCAGGACACGGCGGTGATTGATGCGCTCGGTGTCGATCCCATCCAGCGCGGCCAAGGTGCTACATCTCCATTCGCATGTCTATGTGCTGATGCAGATCGCGTAGGTGTGGGGTCGGACCTTGTGGACGCGGCTGAGCGCTTCCTTGCATCCGAGGCAAAGGACCCGAGTCGGTACCTCGCGCTCGCGTGCGTCCCATCTGACGCCACTGAGCGGTTCGTACGTCGCATGGGCTTTGTCGAATACAGCGGCGAAGTTGATGCAGTGACGGGTGACCGCCGCGTCGTGTACCGTGTAATACGCTCTCGCTCCAAAAGCGGCGCTACAATTTATGGACTTAGAAACCGGTTGGCGACCACCATGTCCCAGACCCAGACGCCTCCATGGGTGATGTCATGGGCGCGTTCCTTGCCCAAGTGGATGGGCCGCGGACGGAGGAACCTTCGCTAGAGGCATCCGCAAAGACGCCGCTCTTCGCGTCCATCCTCTCGACCGTACGGCGCACGTCCATCCTCCTCGATCGACTAAGATCTATCTTGTAGATGCGCTTGGATACACTGGAGGCGCTCGCAACAGACTTGAGCAACACCGCTTCCATCGAGGTGCTGCACGACGACGACGATCACGAGACGCCCGAGAGCCTCGACTCGCTCGTGCGCCTGCTCATGACGCAGCTGCGCGATCCAAGCCATGAAGAGCTTGTCATGTCGTTTCGACCAACTCTGGAGGCGTCGGAGGATAAGGAGTAGCCGTAATCCGGCTGCGCCCAAGAGAAGTTCTCACGACCGGCAACGACAGATTCCTTCCGTGCAGCTGTGGAAGCGCCAAAGTCACAGCCTTGGCCATAGCCTTTGGCGCATCTCGGACAGTCCAGTGACATACTCTCCAGGTCATGCGACCATATCCTGCCTGCGAGGCGTCGTAGGAGCGAGCGCGAGAAGCGTTCTCGGTTCTGCTGATCCCGACTGGTCAAGGAACCGCGGGTGTTGCTCTCGTAATCTCGCCAGGAAGCACCACGAATAACGCTTGAAGTTGGCAGTTGGGTCCTTCCAACTATCACGGGACAAAAAGATATAGATTCTCTTCGTCTGCACCCCAAGCTGGCGAGATACACCCGATTCACATACCTCCAAGCCAGAGGTTAGTCGGTACAACAGTAGTAGGACCAAGGACCTCGGCAAAAAAGAGCTCGACATGGGTCGCAACAAGGAGCTAGACAAGGAGCGCGGCAAAGACCTCAGTCGAGTGCATCGGCCAGACGACGCGCCGCCAGCTACTCCACTTGGTGTGACAACCACCCACAACTTCAACGGCGCCTTGCGACTTGAACTTGGGCGATTGCACTTCGAACTTCGAAACTGCCACAGAACCAGCTGGAATTCCGCGGATGTTCGGCACGGCACTCGCCGGTGCACGGTCAGACGCGCAGGATGCAAGATTGGCCATGGGTTAGTCTGTTTGTTAAATTAGAAAACGCGACCGGCCCTATAAGAAGTGCTGCATGACCGCGCGCAGCCCATACATGAGGCCGGCTTGCTTGCGGGCCTCGGCCGTGAGCAACGTCACATGGCACTTCTCCGAGGCGGTCAACGTGTGGTTGAAGTGTTCAATGTCCTTGGCCGTCACGCGCCACGGCGTGCACGCGACCTTCTTGACAAACTGCTTGGTCGGGCGGTTGAGGAAGATGTTGACGTTCTTGTAGTCGTAGTCGTCGTGGCAAATGCCGTAAATGCGGTGTACGTAGTACCAGATCGCATGGCGGAACGGCGTCGTGTCCAAGCTCTCCTCGTCCTGGTTGCTGCGATGCTTGGCCTCCGCATGCGCCCCGTACGAGTGGTACGTCATCTTGAGCGTGAGCTTGAAGAGGTCTTCCAGAATGTGGCCCTGCGGCTCAGTCAGATCATGCTGTAGGGATCGAGGACGACGTACGCCTTGGCCGGGAAAGTACCGGCTCACGAGCGAGAAGCAGTGCTCGTCCCATGAAAAGTCTTCCGTGTGCAACACGTTGTACTCGCGCGACCGCACGTCAAAGTCGACGTACTCGACAAACGTCTCGCTGCAGTAGCGCCACAGCTCGCCCTTCAGGTGCGCCGTCGACGACAAGCCGCGCAGCCGCCCGCTCGCTACACAATCATGCGCCATGAGCCATCGCTTGCACAAGCGCAATGATACGTACGCGGAAGGGCCGCGCATTCAAAAGGCACTTCCTCGTCGTCCTCGTCGTCATTGTCCTCGTCGTCGTCCTTCTCGGTGGATGACGTCGCGTCGCCTTCAGGCGCGTCTTCGTCGTCGCTCTGCGTAAACTCTGCGTCCTTGGCCAGACGCTGCCGCAAAAGCTCTTCCTCGAGCTCCATGCGCGCCACGTCGTACCCCGGGCTGGCTCCGAGCTCGCTGCCGCACTCGCTCATCTTGCCTATGCTGCTGCGGCGGTTGATCGCGCCAATGTACGTGTCGGGGTTGGACGTGCTCGAGAGGATCGCGAGGTCTTCTTCGTCGACAACACCCAGACCGAGCGTGATGCTGCACATCGAGTGGTACATGCACATGACGATGATCGCGTGCACGAGCTCCGAGATGGACCACGACGACCCGTCGCTGTCGGACGCCAGCTACCATTCGGTACCCATGAGAGGCAGCATTACGTCACGGCGTCTCGTACCAGGTCGGCGATGTCATCGCTCGTAATGAGCCATGGCTGGTGCGCTAAGAGCGCGTTGAGGCTGTGGAGGCGCGCGAGCTTGGCCGGCACAAAGTCGAGGCCGTCAAGCCACGACGGGTCGCCGCCATTTACGAGGAAATTGTGTTGGTGGATCATCGAAACGTAGTGACACCGGTACTCGGCCGCGGCCATGAGCGCAATGTAGTTGCGCCACTCGAGCGGGAGCGGGCCATCTACAAACGTCTATGATGAGCACGATGGCATCGCGTCATGAGCTACCGTTGAGCATGATGGACGTGATCGACGACCGAAAGAGCTGCAGGTACGGCTTGTGCCACGCAAGCATGCGCGTCAAGTGCGAGACGCGGCCACCTTGAAGGAAGCAGCGCGTAAAGATGGCTTGGAGATCCTCATCCTCGTTCTTGACGATGCCAATGACCTCGGACTTCTGGAAAAACGACGACACGTCCGAGTCTTGGTCCGTGGGCTCGGCGCCGTTCGGTGGCACGCACTTGGGCGTGAAGGCCAGGCCGCGCTTGGCAGCAATGTCGGCCAGCAGCGCGCGGCAGCCGGTGCGAATGTCGGCGAGCGGCGCTTCGCGGGCCAACCGCCACATGGTGGGCAAATGGGCCTCCAAGACCGACGGCTCCATGGCCATGGCTTCTTCGCCGAGCTGCTCCATGGTGCTCGCGCGCTGGCGCGGGTCGGCGCTGAGGAGGCGGCGGAAGAACCACTCCTTCTTGACCGCAAAGTGGCTGTCGCTCCTCGCGGCGCTCAGCATCATGTCTCGACGCGCTCAAAATCCAAAATGACCGTGCTCGGCCGCGGGCCAAGTCTTGACTTGGCGTTTGTATGTGACAGCTCGTTTGTATGCAAACGACCGGATCCCCACGCAACTTCGAGTTCTGGAACTTCGAATGTGCCGAAAATAAGCCGCGCCAGTGAAATTTCCGCGGCTTGCCGTGTCTATACAAAGTCGCTGTCGTGTGTCACGGAGGCACGTCCGGCACCTTTTACCACGCATACAGAGGCCAGGTGTCGAGCAGGATGCCTCGAGGAAGCTCCGCAACACGTGGCATCTCCATGTGGGCAAAGCGCCAATCACAGGCGTCTCGGGTCCACAAGTAAAAGCTGTGGCCATGGGCTTGCAATTTGCATCTCGGCCGCTTGACCGACGCCGCGTCGACAGTGTCGCCCGCACAGAGACGTCGTCTGTCGCCAACCGCCTTGGATTATTTACAGTGTACACGTCCTCGGCTACTGCCGCCTATTGGCTTGATTTCCTCATCAACGCCTGGCGCCATACGTGGCAGCACCTGCGTCCGCGCCCACAGGTGGTGGCGCCACCTGGCGGTTTTTAAGCCTTGGGCATTGTATGCTATACAATGTCAAGTATAGTCGATCCAAAAGATACAAAGGACCGCGACTTGGCGGTTGGCTGCAAAGACGCGGATGCAGGCCTTCTCGTTCGAGCCGCCGGTCGTGCCGGTAGACGCAAGCAGCCTCGCGGCCGAGACCGACGTGCGCGCCAAGTACCACCGCGCACTCTCGGTCGTCTCGGCCATCTTCAACAAGTACTACAACGGGTCGCACCGCGCGGTGGACGTCGATGTGGCGCGGCGCCTCGTGGCCCACGAAGATGCGCTCTTTAGTATCCAGTGCCACATCGAACAAGTCGACTGCACCGTCGATGTAGTTGCAGCGCTTCTGACGTCTGGCGTATTAGGGCCCGGCTGCGATTCATCGCGAAAAGAAGGCGTCCGAGGTGCGCGACATCACGGGCCATGTTGCGGCCCACGGTATGTACTCGCGTGTTCGTGTGCGTCGGCAGAGATTTGATGGCGCGCTTGTTTCTGTAGCCCACCAGTCGACACCGTGGTTTGCGCTCTGTGGCGGGTACCTCCCCGGTCCCGGCTCTGTCATGTACGTCGTTGATGATTCGTCGTCGTTCGTATTGGGTTGGACCTGAGTTTGCTGTTTCATTTTGTCAGGCGAGAGTGGGACAAGCTCGGTGAAATGGCGCCGGAAGCAGCGATGAAAGAGTATGTTGGTCTCGTCGATCGGCTCTTGCCCGGCTGGGACGATCAGTCCGAGTTCCCAGTCGCACGCCAGGTGGGTACCACGGAACGAGCGGTGCCAGATCGGATGTTTGCTGTAGGACCGGTTCTGGCAAGACGACGCCGTGCGCTCTGCGTGCACGGTGTGCGAGGCGCCGTTCACGGTGCAAAATCGACGCCACCACGTACGCACAGACTTCTTCGACTCGTATTTTGTATCGCTGTGGTGTCTAGTGTCGCATGTGCTTTGACATCTTTTGCCATCTCTGCACGGCGTCGCAGGTCGAGCTGCTGCTTTCGAGAGGTGCGCCGCCGCGCAAGTACCGTGTCTGTGGCGCGTGCAAAGCCAGCATCGACAACGACAAGGGCAAGCACATCTGGACGTGGACTGGCATCGGATGTTTATGATCTTTGGTAGGGCTTGCCGAAGTGCGCCGGCTGGTGACGGAGAACCGGCGTATCAAAGATGCGATCCAGGCACTCGCCAAGACCACAGAAACGCAGGTTGCGGCACAAGCGGCTGTCGTCGCCAAGCTGCGCGCAGAAGCCACACACCTCGGTACGAGCTTCTTCAGGATCGGCGACAACTCATTGTGACAGGCTGCGACGTGGCCAAGCTCGACGCCATCACGGCCGCCAAGCTCGGCGCGTCGCCGTCGCGCACAATGGAAGAACTCAAGACGCCACCGGCGCACAAGTTCAAGGTTCGCCCTTTGTGTGGCTCTACGTGTTGACTTCGGATGTAGCCAAGCGAGTCGGTCGAGGCGTGTGCCCAGCTGCGCGTCGCCCACCGCCAGCTTGGTATGTGCTTGAAGGTCGCCGAGGTCCGGTCCAAGAAGGCACTCGAGTCACTGAACGTGGCCATCGCTGTCTACGAAGAGGTATTCTTTTGTATCCATAGAGATGGTTTCTCGAACTTTGTGTTAGGCCATTCGCCACAAGAAGATTCGGTGGCACCCCGTCGCGACGGGGGCGCTCCCATACTTCAATGTCTTTGACATTGCCATGTTGAGCCAAGTGCGCTACACTGCCTAGTCGCTTTCGATGGACGTAGTTTCGTAGACGTGCAAGACGCTACATGCGTACATTGGCAAACACGATTTGCAGCGAAAGGCCATTGCGCAGCAGGCCTTTCCGGTTTGTTTTCGGTAAAACGATGTTTGCATCTTTGTGGCAACCATCCAACTTGCGACTAGGCCGCAAATGTGGCTCTCGCGCATCTGCAGCGACAGCGACACCAACAAGTTCATTTGCGACCTTGCCGAAGCACTCACGTCCGCGCTGAGCCTCGAGTACGACTCGGACCAAGCCGTGCAGTGGTACTCGATCATGCCCAAGTCGTCGCCGATCTGGTCGGAAGCGTACGCTGTAAGCGCCTCTGTCTTGCATCGCGACGATGTATCCCACGGCGCGTAGCTGATTCTTGAGCGCTGTGGTGCGGTCGGCCACCTCGAGCACGACAAGCAGATCGTCGCGGACGTCGGGCGCACGTTTGGCCGCTCTGCCGTGCGCAAGACCAAGCGCCGCGAGCGGGTACGACGTCGCTTGTGAAGGTTTCTTGTTGATCGAATGGTGTATGGGTGCAGCAAGCCGATCCGTACGAAGGATTGGACCGCGAGCCGAAGAAGGACTCGCTCATCAACGTGCTTCGCGCCTTTACGAGCACCAACTCGACCGTGGGCTACTGCCAGGGCATGGTAAGACGTCCTCTCGTGGTTGCTTGGCGCGCTAAGATCGTATAGAACTTTTTGGCGGCCTTTATGCTCGCCAACGTCGAGTGGAACGAAGCGCAGGCCTTTTGGCTCCTAACGGCGATGGCGGTCTCGCCTACATACGAGATCATGGACATGTACAAGCCGGGCGTTCCGCTGCTCAATTTGCGCTTCTTCCAGGTACTTGGCGTAGTGCAGTGAATGTACGAATGAAACATGGACTGGTTGCAGCTCCATATGCTCGTCAAGCAGTGGTTGCCCGCCGTCCACGCGCACTTTGAAGCGCAGGATTTTCATGTGAGCATGTGTGCCTCGGGGTAGGGTTACGAATCTTCAACGACTGCGGACAACGATATACGATGATGTAGGTGGTTTATGACATTATTTACCAACTTTGACACGCTGCCGCCGGACGCTGTCGTCCGCACCATGGACGGTTTTGTTGTCTACGGCTGGAAAATGATCTTCCGCGTCGCGCTGGCGCTCCTCACGTACCTCGAGGTAGACGGAGCGTCCCTCGCATCGATGATTCGTATATTCATGACCGACTAGCCGGCAATCCTGGCCGCTGACTTTGAAGCGATCGTGGATCTCTTCTACAACTTGGATGACGGCGCGGTATGCTCCTTCCTGTCTCTAAAAAGTGGGTTGACGACCAAGGGTAGCTCATCCTGCACCCCGAGTACCTCGTCCACGCAGCCAACAAAATCAAGGTAGTTCCGGTGACCCATAAAGCCAAGATCGTATCGACGGTGACGACGCCTAGGTCACCAATTCTATGCTGCGGGCGCTTCAAGACGACTATGACGAGCTGTACCCTTCCAGTCTCGGCGCGACGCTGTCGCCGCGCCACGAGACCGCGGGGAGCACACCAGCGCTGCCATTGCTCAAGCTCACCTCTGCGTCGGTCGACGACGTGGGGCCGGATACCATTTGCACCACGACCTAGATAACGTTGTCTGTTGTTTCTCGCTAGTACAAGCTGAGCAAATTGGGAATGTGGAGGTGCATCGCTCTCCTTATATGGTGCGCTGCACGAGTGCGTCGATTTCGATCAAGGGAATAACTTGTATGCCCTTGATTTCAATGTACTTGGCGACGTGCCAGTCAGGACGGTGGGGCGACGCAGCTCGACAGCTTCGTGACGCTTCGGCGTCGAGGACGAGTGACGGCAAGAACCAAAGGTGCCGCCATGACTCCGGTGCTGCTGTGTGTCGCAAGATACGTCGAATCGTTCGCACCTTTGGCCACGTTCATGGCGATAAACACGATACACGACACTATTGATAGATTGATATATACTCCAAGGTGCCTACGCTACGTAGACTTAGTGGCCGCCGGCGCCGGCGTTGGCGTACGAGATCGTCATGGGCGAGGCACCGCCGGCGATCGAGACGATGATCTGCGTCAGCACCGAGAAGCCTTCGCCCGTGAGCATCGCAGCGGCGAGGATGTACTGCGCCTTCTCAAAGCCCGGGCAGTCGACCGACTTCCAGTAGATGATGATGACGGCCATGATCATACCCTCGAGGCCAAAGTACGCGGGCACGATCATGCCAATCGCGACGGCCATCGGCACGGGGCAGTAGTTGGCGATCGCGTTGTGCACCTTGTTCTCGGATTCCGAGAACAAGTCGATGTACAAGTTGAAGACGATCGTGTAGATGGCGCCAATGAGCATAAAGATGCCGCAGTGGGTCGGGAGACCCGAGAGGCCGACCGACGCCGTGATCGCGAGCACGCGGTACACTTCGCCGAACGGCGCCGTGATGACGTCGCCCGGGATCGTGAACGCCTGGTTCATGACCACCCACACGGTCGGCACGATGATGCACGACATGCACGCGCCGACGATCTGGGCAACGATCATGGCGTTCGCCGACGCGCCGACGAGGTAGCCGGTCTTGAAGTCCTGCATGAGGTCGGCGGCCTGCGAGCAGCCCACAATGACCATCTGGCAGAGCA